CTTTAGTCTTTGCAACTTTACAGATCTTGTTTATGCACCAAGAGCTTGTAACACTCCAAAGAGAAAGGAACAATTGAAATCGCATCATATGACCCCTTTAAATATGATAGACAGAAATGTAACACTCTTAGGGAAATGTGATAATGTTTTGTAATTATCATTTAAATCTGCTTAATTTTCAAATTTTTGTCATAAACATCTCAGAAAAATGTTATAGGGTTTCAAATCGAAATATGACTTTTTGTTACGAAACGGAGCATAATTTTCATGTCTTATGTAGAGGACAAATGGTGTGTTAATCTGGCATTTTGGGGAAACTCAACAGGGAAAGAAAATATGGATAACTATTCCTATGAAATTAGATATTCTTATGAAAATGTTGCCAAGTTATTACTTCCGTTATTATACTACATTTTTCATTATGGTTTACCCCAAGAACACATTAATATGCAAGTTAGATAAAATGTATAGATACATTGTATAGAATGGGAATACGGATTTATGGACATTTTCCGTACATATTCCATAAAGTACAATAGTATATCAAATCATTCTGTTATATCTTTCATAACATAGTTGAGAATCATCTTTGTACAAAGTTTGGCTAAAAATATCCTGAAACCTAAAAACCGGTGAATGAAAAAATAAAACATTGTTTTTGCCTATACATGCCTTTTCATGTCTTTATTTATTTTTGAATAGCTTAGTCCTGGCATCCTCTACAAAGGACATAGAATAAAATATGAATAAAGTATCTTTTTTTCAAATATGTTTTCTCTCCATTTGTTTGTCATGCTCCAACCAATGTAACAAAAAAATTAATAACAATTAAAAAAATTTACGAAACTTTAATTTCTGGTTCTCAGGAGGATATTATAGCTTATCAGATAGTGAATTATGATTCGGTTGTTATGTTAAATTGTGTGAGAGGTGAGAATAATCCTTTTGGTCAGAGACTGGACTATCAGGCACATCGAATTTAATAAAGTTTAAGCTTTCTCCCTAAAGCTTAAGGAAAAAATATCTAGATGTTAAAAGCATTATCAATTTATTCAGACATTTAGTCCTTTTAATATCTCATTTGTACGATGTTTTATGTATGCCTGTGTCATCTTGAATAGGATTGCTTATGAAAGTAGTTCCTCTACTACAGTACGAGCTACACTCCAAAATCCATTCGCCAGATTAAGTAGTTCCATTATGACCGTTACCGAATTCACAAACAAATCCGTTGAAAACGAAACCTCCGACTAGATCTACATTTAACTGTTGTACTTTCTAGTATTTTATAATTTGTAATTATTCTTGATTTTTTTTTTATTATAAGAAAATGTTCTCGGTGTCGCTGCCTGTGTTGCGGTGAGGAGGTCGGCGGAAGGTGGTTCTTCCCTTCTCAGTCTCCTCCTCGGAAGTAGACGTCCGTGTCTATATTCCGTTCATTTTATTTTTAATATCAGTTTGGAAGGATCCCTTTTAGTTTTTAATACCCCCACCAAATTTCACGGCAAACATGGAGGCGAAGCTGGACGCTTAAAAAGATGACGGAATCCGATCTGCTCCTTTATTTTACCTCAGTTTAATGGACCGGATGATCTGCGTTTCCCACAACCTTGCAGGGGAGGTAAGAATCTAACCGTTTCTGGGAGCTTTTATAGACACATTTAACGATTTAGCCTCATTAAACCAGCGATACTGGACATAAACATACACATAAAATACCATTTTTGTATTTTCGGTGTAACTAGGTGTGTGGGGTTGCGTGTATATCGATGTGTTGCTGTGTAGCTAGTCAGCTAATAACGTTAACGTTACATACCAAATATAAACTGCGTCAACACTGTATCAACATTTCGCATTGAGATGTAAGTTAGTGATATGGATTTTGAAGCGTTTAATGTCATTGTTTACATTAAACAATACATTTTGCATCTATATAGCTGAATCACTTCTCAATCTTAATTAAAATGACAGGTTGAACCCATCATCATCATCAGATCAGAGCTGATTTATCTTTTTATTTAAAAAAATTTTTTTTTAACGTAAAGTATTTTTGATTTGGTGTTTATTGTTGAACAAAAATGATTAAATTAAAAGATATTTTAATCATAATCAGTAACTGTAATTATGTTTCATATATTACAATAATATTTGTGTGTATATATATTATAACATGTAATTACTGTTGTTATTATATATTAAAAAGTGAAATTATAATATTTAATATTTTTTAATATTTTATTTTTATTTTAGCATGTTTTATATATATACACACACACGCACGCACATATATGTGTATATATATTTTATTATTATTATTTTTAGACTGAATAGTAAAACAAATTCCCAAGGCAACTCAGACATCCCATGTCATTTATGGCTGATCATATTTGATCTATTTTTGAGATGTTTTGTGTGTTCGGCGCGCAGGTAGCTGTATCCAGTGGGGAGGTAGGCTTTTCCAGGGTTCGTGATGAAGTTCACCCTGCCCCTGGAAAGCCGGAAGCTGTCGTCTCTTCTGGAGAAGGCAGTTTCTAGGGAAGCCAAACTATGGAAGGTTTACGTGCCAAAGAAACCTACCAACCAGGTGAGTCTGTCAGCTGATAGCTCTGGTTTGTTTGGTATAACAGCAATGTTTAGATTGTGGGAGGCAGATAAATTAAGCTGGTTTCTGTGTAGCTCCATTGGGAATATGTGAATGGTTATGTTGCAGTATACTGTCATCATTATTATGTGCTCTAATTTGGGTCTCTTAGGATTAAATGTGTATGATTTGCTGTATATGAATCTGTAATTTGGTAAACGGAGAGACACTGGGATTAGTACAGTTATATGAGGCTGTGTTATCTCTAGATGTAGTTGTCTTATGCTTATTGTTTGTGTTTATGTTTGTAACACACATATGCGACCAGCTGTCTGAGGTCTGCTATCCAACCCCATCCTGACGGGAACCAGGCCGTTTTATTGTGTGTATTTAGTGTTAGTATTTTATTTGAGATACTATGAATTATGTTTTTCAGTTTTTGTTATTTAGGTTTTTATTTTTATATTTTGTTTTCAAATTAATTTGACCGTTTTAGTGATTTTGTTTTGTCTTTTTTTTTTAAAATTATTATTAGTTTAAATTTTTTGTTCTTAAATATGTCTGTGTATTTTTTATTTATTTTAGTTTTAGTAAGTTTAGCATATCAAGTTAAACTAAATGAAAATGAGAAATGTATCCTCGACAACTAGCTGAAATAAAATAAGTTTACGTTTTTTAAAATTGTATTTCAAGTAATGAAAATTTTTTTTTTAAATGGTTTTAGTTAACTATAAAAAGCCTGTGATTATTTTATTTTAATCATAACAATCAGAAAATTTAGCAATAGGAATAACAACAGCAATAAGTGTACAAATTGAGGTAGTAATTCATGTCAGAATGCATTACTATTATAAATCAATATCTGTGCATCTGAAAAGGGATTTGATTTGGCTGGTTTGGGTCATGTCAGATTGGATTAATGCATATGCAGACCTGTGTGTTGTGTATCTGATTCATTGCATTTTTCTTCTTTAGGATACAGATATTTCCCCTGAAAAGCGTGATGAGGCCGTCCGGTGGTTGAGGGATGTTCATTCCCAGCTGAAGCTCTATCCAGAGACCCTCTGCCTGGCCATCGGCATCCTGGATCGCTTCCTCTCTGCCATTAAGGTAATGTTTAAAAAGGTCTGACCGGTCAAGGTCTTCTGCCCCAGTCAATGATTGTGGTTTTATGGCGTTTTCCATTATCCAGCTGTAACAGGGTTTAGCCGTGTGTTGGCTGGCTTAATTGCAGCCCATGATAGGTACTTCACACAATAACACCTATTTTTAAAATCAATTATAATAATACTCTTCTCTGTCATTTCTGAATTTCACCTGTGTTCAATCTTGTGTAGTAGTGTAGCTTATACTTGGCTTGATAAACTGCATATGATGTTACTATTAAATGCATACATTTATAAAAGACTATAAATGTATGCATGTATGCATTTCATGCGTGATAATTTAATGCAGTATAATTTGAATGCATTATAATTTATGCTTTCAAGTTTGTGCATGTTATGCATTTGAACTTGTGCATGTTATGCATTGTAATTTCTGCATATAAAGTTATCATTTTTTATATAATTAACATAATTGCTTTTGAGATGCAGCGAACACTTGTGTAGTTAGGTCACTATTTAGCTGAGCTGTTTTATTATACGAGACTGAATGTTTTTTGCTCTCTGTTTGCCATTTTCTTTTAGCACATCAGAAGGGTTGCAGAGACTATTCTAGAATAATTTTTTATTTTTAGAGAAAGTGAAACTGCACTGTGATGTATTTTTAGATGCAAATATATGGCAGTCATTGCAGATCTGATTAGTTCTTGTGCTTTGGCATGAACAGGAAATGCATGTGTCTGTGAAAAAAAACATTTGCCATGTGCTGTTGTGGCATAAAAGTGCACGAGATGCCGTATTGCAGTACCATTATTGGTCAATCTCTCTCTGTCTCTTTTTCAGGCTCGCCCAAAGTACCTGCGCTGTATCGCCATCTCTTGTTTCTTCCTGGCTGTTAAGACCAGTGAGGAAGATGAGGTGAATGCAGTATTAATATGCTGATCAGTAGCAAACAATGTACGTCTGTTATTCTAAGAGGCAACAGAGTAGAATGAAGGTCAACATTAGTCATTGCGGGTCTCTGCGGCTTTATTTATGTAGCAGAAGTAATATTTTTTCTGTGGGAAACGGTGACCCTGGATGGAACATCTCTGATGTCTCGAGTCTAAAATCAGCCCCAGTTTGATGAGCCTTTGCAGAGGCTGAAGGATGACAAAACATTGCCTTCAGACAGTGAGAATTATCTGTAGAATTATAACGACTGAGATTTCTCTACTGGCTTCTGCTTCAAATGCCAAAGATGGACTAATATTTAATCCGATTATTTTCTGGCAGCTCTTTAAAGTCATTTCTGGCTAGAACTGACCATGTGATGTGGCTTAAACTTAGTGAAGCAATTACTATAATTTAGTTCAAAGTTTTGCCATTATTTTACTATTATATTTGAACTTGTTTTTGGTGGGTGTTCCTGTCTGTATAACCTTTTAAAATCAAATCAAATTGTGTAGCGATTTTACACAGTTTCAAAGCAACTTGCAATAAATCATGCAATAATATAGTTCACATTTTGCAATGATACAAGCAGTCATATATATATAGAATATATCGTCCTATGCAAATATATATATATATATATATATATATATATATATATATATATATATACAGATAAAATTGGACATGCTTATATATCCAACCAAATATAAAGAGCTTATATAATGTGTTTTGCAGCGTATCCCATCTCTGAAAGAGCTGGCGTCCAGCAGCAAATGTGGCTGTTCTCCGTCGGAGATCTTGCGGATGGAGAGGATTGTTCTGGATAAGCTGAACTGGGACCTGCACTCGGCCACAGCACTGGACTTCCTTTACATCGTGAGTGCACTTCCTCTCTCACACACACACACACACACACAAACACACACACACACACACATGCAAACTTTGCAGCTCTACGTACAGACACTGAACTCTCCTTTCACATATTCTGTGCTCTCTGATAGTATGGTATGTAGTATGGGATAGTATGTAATTGTATGGAGGTCTGACTGAGGTCGTCCACAGAGTGCGCACATACGTCTCCAAGATTATTGAAAGAAGTGTTAAATAGCACTTTGTATGTAAAACTGCTTTTTAAACAGATATTTTCCAGTCAATCTAAATCAAATATCTTAAAGACATTTTCTAAAGGTTTATTTAACATCTGACAGAAAACATCTTAGACATAGTGCAGATAAACAAATGTTTTCAAAAAATAATAAATAATGTATAAGTAATATTTGTTGTTTGTTCATGTTCATGTTTGTTCAACTAATGTTAACTTCACCAAACCTGTGAATTGTTACCATATACACCATGACCTCATTCATTTCTGCCATAATTGGTGTGTTTTACAGTAGCGGTATTTAATTAGCTTCATATAGGAAGATTTCAGTTTAGGTATTCTAATTCACACAGAACACTGTGCTAAATATATTTGCTAATGCATTAAAACATCTTACTGTTGCTCATATTTAGGGTTAGGGATCTGAATATGGGATTTATTCCAAGCAAACGCCATCTTCAGAATTTTCAAAATGTTTCTAAAGTGCATTTTATTTGTTTTTCAGTTTATATTGATGCTTAAGTCAACCAACAAAAAACTTTGTGCAACTTTAAAGCTCTTTGGCTGTGAAACTTAGATGTACTGGATGTTGCTGCTCCTAGTAAGGGAAATTAATTTAGATCTGCTTTCTCGTGTGGGTGTTGAGGAAGGATCCCCATTGTTGGTATATTGAGGTTGCTGTTAATAGCCTGGCTCTCCATGTGGGTGCTAAAGGACTGCCAATCATCCGGTTAAGTGCTGAGATCCAAAAATATAGATTTTTATCTCTCTCTGTAGTTCCATGCGATGGTTCTGAGCTGTAAGTCCGAGCGGCTGAACATGGCGTTGTCGGGTCTAAACCCGTCGCAGCATGTGGCTCTGCTCACCCAGCAGCTCTTCCACTGTCTGGCCCACAATGCACTGCTGCCGGTGCATGGCTCATTGCTGTCCCTCGGCCTCATCACGCTGGAGCTGGAGAAACTCTGTCCTGATTGGCTTGCTCTCACTGTCGACCTGCTGCACAAATTACAGGTGAGAACTGATGAAGTTCACTGGCTCCAAATTATCCAACTAGTCTTGAAATGATTTCAGTGTTCATCTGGGAAATATACAAATATTTCCATAAAAAAAAAAGTGTGTATGTGTATATATATATATATATACCGTTAGTCAGCAGTATATATATATAAATTTTTTTAATGGAAATGTATTGGACCTTTAGACAAAGTCTAAAAAAAATTCTAAAAAAATGTTGCTTTTGTTAAATATCATTTGATACATCATGACTTTATGGCTCATATAGTATGAAATAGAATATGGAGCTCAAAACACCAGTATTATCCAAAGGCCCAAACTGAGCAAAAATATTTATTTTGGTGCAGATGCTGGTATTTATATGGCCAAAATATAAGAGAAAATTCTTATAGCCTGTAACATAAATCACTGAGTATAACAGTATGAAAGACTACTTCAGTTATCACTATATTTCCCAATAATGTCTTGATATGATATTCAAAAGCTTAGCTTTATGATCAAAGCTCTGTAGTTTCAAAACATATAATGCAATGCAATACAATGATGATTGAGAGATGAACAAATAAAAGTTCCTTAAAAGCCAGGTCATATTTTTGAACATGATTTTGCTAAAAAAAATAATGTATGAATAATCAAGCATTGTAAAGTAAACAAAAGTTGTTTCAGTCCAGCAAGTGTTTGTCTTGAAATATTACTAACAATATGAAAGTTAATGTTAAGTTTACTTAATAAAAATCAAGATTTCACAGCACGAAGACCTGTGCTGAAGGTGGACATTTTTACAATTGATTAAAACAACAACAACTACTATCTATCAGATGACAGATGGCATGTAGTAGATCAGGTTGTTCAGAAAAGTTTTAATCATGTTGATCATTTAAAGGCCTTAGAAATGTGCATATCCAATATGGCAAAGCAGCCTTTATAGGGTCAAAAAGTGTTTGAACATTTGAACAAAATGGGTATTGAACATTGTTTGTAGAAATAATGTAGCTTAAGAGATTTTAGAGGGAAAATCAGATGATCACATTCAAACGTTTCTATTAAAGAAATCCATAAAGTGTTCAGGAAGATCCCAACGATCTGTGGTCACTCTAAACTTTTCTTGAGGTCTCATCATCAGTGTCAGTCAGGTTTTGTGACGATCCAGTTATCTCATTATTCCTCGCTTACAGAGGCTCTGTTGATGCGTGATGTGTAATTGAACTCATCAGACTATACGTTCGAGCTGCACTAGCGTGTATAATCCGTCTCACATGTTTGGTTTTCTGTAGGCTCTTAAACTCTTATCATAACTCAGAAGAGGCCCGGTCAGTCGCTTCTCCAAAGCAAACTCTGTTATCAATGCCAGCAGCGAGCTCAAAGCGAAACTAAAAATAAAGACCTTTAAAAGTCCCTTGCTTTACAGTGATGACTGTCATGCGATTAATAACTGATAAAGAAATTCCCATAAGTTTACAGGTTATTGCATCATGAAACATACAGGTTCAGTAACTAATACGGTCAACAACAGTGAAACAGTTTTAAAATATTCATGACTATTTATTAAACATTACTGTCTTTTATTGTGATACACACAACCCAAAAGTTTTGGGTCCGTAACAGGGTTATTGTAGTTACCTAAAACTGAAACTAAAATTAAAACCATTAAAAAAATGGTTTTTCTTGTAACTTGAATAAAATATAAAAAAATATAAAAACTAGTTGCTGAAGCAACATTTCTCATTTAATTGTTTAAAATTAAATCACTATTTAAAAAAAAATTTAAATTTAAAACTTTAACAAATTGAAATAAAAATGAAAAAAATATAAAACTAAAAACTGATTCAAAATTTAATAGTATCTCAGTGGCCATATATATATGTATAAATGTAGCCATTTATTTGTTTAAAAATACAGTAAAAAACAGTAATATTGTGAAATATTATTACTATTTAAAATGAGACTTTTCTATTTGAGTATATTTTAGATTGTAATGTATTCCTGTGATGCAAAGCTGAATTTTCAGCATCATTACTCCAGTCTTCAGTGTCACATGATCCTTCAGAAATCATTCTAATATGCTGATTTGCTGCTCAAGAAACATTTCTGATTATCAATGTTGAAAGCAGTTGTGCTGCTTCATATTTCTGTGGAAACAGTGATACATCATTTTTTTCACAATTCTTTCATGAATAGAAAGTTCGAAAGAACAGCATTTATTTGTAATGGAAATCTTTTGTAACATTATAAATGCTTTTGATCAATTTAATGCCTCCTTGCTGAATAAAAGACCCCAAACTTTTGAACGATGGTGCATATCATAATTTTTTTTTCTGTTTTCTCTCTTTCAGATCGACAGTTCTCAGCTGATCGGCTGTCGAGAGCTGGTTGCACGTTGCCTGTCCACGCACACGGCTTCCCTGCCTCCTAACACTGTGTACATCTGCCATCCCCTGCCGAACGCCCCTGAGCCTCGGGACGGGGGAGTCCTGCCCGCCTGGCACGTTTCCCCCGCCCCGACAGCGCCCTCTGACCCCAACACCACCCACACCCGCTCGTGCAAGTCTTCAGCCAAGCGGAAGGTGGAACACATGGAGGTGGATGAGTATTTCGATGGGATCAAGCGCCTGTACAACGAGGAGAGTTCCCAGGAGGGGGCGCCCACGTGCACGGCCGAAACGGTGGGAGGACAGGGTTTACCGGTGATACAGCAGAACGCTGGCTCCTCCCCCTGCCCACCTCTCCAACCGGTCAGAGAAACCTAGAGGAAACGGCTAATCAATCACACAACCGCAGCAGCCGCGTTCATCAGTTCACCTCAGAGCAAGAGAGAGGCCAAAATACTAACAAAAAAAGCATACTCTTTGCATGATGCCATTTCATAACCGTAAACATGAAAAGCTTTAAAAAAGCAGAAAAAAATCTATATATAAAGGAAAAATGTTTGCAAAAAAAAAGTAGGAATATTTTTCCCTCCATCTGTGGAAACTGGTATTGCTCCTGTTGGTCTCTTTTTATATGTATTTGCCAATTTTATTTCATCTAAAACTTTCACTGTTATCTTTACTCACTTTTTATTTGTCAGACACAGCCCTCAACACTTCTAGTTTTCATTAAATACAATTTTTATTAAAGTAATAAAAACATATTTTCATAATAATAAATATATATTTATAATAATAAATATATATTTATATATTATTATTATAATTTTTTTTTTTAAGGCTGTGGTTAAAGAGTGGCATTTCTGAAGATGTATATTAGTTTTGTACAAATTTACACTCATTCATAGCTGGGTCTGATTGCTTGTGGTGTGTGTGTGTGTGTGAGAGAGAGAGAGCATTTGAAGGGTGATAATGTCCCTATCACTTTCTTATACTGAGCATTAATGATGAGCCTAGTGTTGTTCGTGGCATTAGATCACACATGGCGTGGCTTGGTTAGATGAACTGTCTGTCGCTTGTTCTAAACCTAGTAATGTAACTGTTATAATGATTAGAATAAACTGCGTAAGATTCTGAACTAACAGAAGAAGCTTTAGACTGTCACCATTCCTTTGCTGATCATAACCTTCCTGCCGAAAGCTCTCTCTCCTGCTCTGAGGTGCTGATGACGGTCCGGGCCGCTGCTGAGAAACCTCCCAATGCTCAAATAAATGAAAATCTACTGAACTGCTCGTGTCTTCTCGTTTTTCTGAGTTTGTGTGGAGAAATAATACTCTGCCAGAGGATCCCTGTTAAGAATGAAATCTGAGATCTTATCTGCGGACTCATTGCTCTCATTAACAAAAGAGAAACTGAGGGGTCATGATTGTGACAGGTCAGACGGAGTTGCCAAAGAAAAGCTCATTCAATATCTAAAGCCTACAATGACAGATAAGTGAATGAGGCACATTTGAAAATGTGGCTATTTATTCAAATAGGAATTTGTTGAATTGCTGGAGCTGTAGTGTTTTGTCTAAGGTAAGGTCAAGCAAATATCCAGGATGGAGCAGGTAAATGATCCTGTCCGTGCGCAAATGTAGTATGTGTACATGCATCACATTTCCATACATAAAATATGTTGTCATATGTAAAAACGTGTATGAAACCTATTAGAAATTTGAACAATGTTCATTTAATTAAAATATATGTTTTAATAAAGTTGCATATGGTTTGCTACATTAAAAGTCATCAAATAGATATTAACATTTACACTATGGGAATTTTTGTTATAAACTTTATTTTTATTATATATCTTGTAGATAATAGATCACTCTTGATGAAGGGCAATATATGTCATTACATTTTCGTAACGGTGCATTTCGTGCAATAAAAAAAATCACAATAACGCTACAGAATCTTTTTTCCATCATTAACTTTATATTTTTATGAACGTCAATGTTTAGTGGATGGAGTCAGTTGTCCTCAAGTTCACACAGGTGAAGTTCACATTAATTATGAACATACTCAATTACAAAAGTTTTGAACAGTATTTATATTTTATCAGTTAAAACACATTTTATTGTGTGAATTTGCTGTTTTATATATGCATATAATAAACACAACTTGGTTTTAGTATTATTCCTTTTTTTAATCCAATGCAGTGGAATTTATACATTTTCACATCGTCTCAAATGTCCAAACACTTCCAGGTGTCACAATATAATTACGATGCTTCATTATAATATATATATATATATATATATATATATATATATATATATATATATATATATATATATATACATACGCTACTTGTTTGGCAAATTGGACAAATTTAATAAAGTTCCCATAATATTTCACAGTATATTTTAGCAGTTTAGTAGTAAGATTTACTTACTATTGTATGTATTATTCATTACCAGACTTTATAGCAAAGTTTTTAAAAGATAGATTAATTTATACATAAATAAATATATACATACATTCGTGGGTTGATAGATGTGTGAGGTACACAGGTAAGCTCAGCACGCAGGTATGCAGGTGGAACTGAGAGAGAAACCCGTGGGCGGAGTTACAGTCAACAACAGGCGAAACCGCTTGTCAGGTCCTTCAGTTTGATTGCACGATAACACGAGATTCACACGGCGAGAGCATGGCCACCGACTTCACACAGGAGTCCCTGCTGCGCTTCATCATCAACAACGGCGGGAAGGTGCGAAATGTGGATTTATTAACCCACTACAGGCGGTTTTTGCGGGAGGACGAAGAGAGTGAGCAGAACCGGGAGTTATTTAAGAGGTACGTGAACTCCGTGGCGACTGTGAGGCAGGAGGAGGGGGTGTCTCATGTTGTGCTGAGGAAAAAATACCGTGTGCATCTCGGAGACATCGCCAAGAACCGAGAGCCCGAGCAGCAGAATGAACGAGACTCTAAACCTCAAGCTGCTTTGACCGTCCCAACTCGTGTTGAAATCTTGCCAGTTGCTGGAATCCTCACCACCAACAACAACAACAACGATTCTGCTCCCAGTTTTGAGAAAGCTGTCAGAACTTCATCACCACATGGGAGGGAACAACCTGCTGTCTCTGCTTCCTGCGCGGAACAGGTTAACAACACCTGCCCTTTGAAAGTAACCCCATCCGACACGGACAGTCGCTCGAGTGGGAGCGGCCAGAGCTTTGAACAGCCATGGGAGTCGAAAGCAACCAGGGAGGCAACAGATCTGGAACACAACGGTGTTTATGTTGCCAAACAGAGACAATTAAGGGAAGCAGATGGTTGCGAGCAGTCCTTCGTCAACCCTGCTTACTATGAGGTTAGAGTGTCGCCTACGGTTGAAAGGAAAAGTTTGAATCCAAGCACATCGGACGTTCACACCAAACACTCAGCCGAGCCTGTCGCCGAAGAATGGCCTTTGTGCTCGACCCTCGGACAGTCTCACATATACAAGTCTTCGCCTTGTCTGCTGGACCGCCCTGTTTCTCCACACATACACTCCCAGACGTACAACCAAGTAGGCTTAAGCCGAAGCAATGATAGCCTACTACGACCAAACGGAGGGTTTAATGGATTTCCGATCCAGGAGCGGGATGAATATGAGTCTCACGGCTTGTCCGTTGACGACCCTCAAGTCAATGCAAGTGCAACGTACTTGCAGATCCGTCACTCATCGAGTCTTTCCTCAAGTCATGACAGCGTCTCAATCCCCTCGCCTTGTTCTACACCACCTGACACTGGTTGGCCGCACGGCAATGAGTGGTCCAGCGATCAGGGTCTTATCCCAGGACAAGATGGGAATGATGTACGAGCTTTCCTACGTCGCACTCAGGAAGAAAGGCTGATGTCGCAACTCTACCAACCGAGTCGCAACATCACGTCCATGCACAACTCGACCGGTCACCTCATCGACGAGGACTCGAGGGCTTCTACGCAAAGCAGTTCACCGGAGACCTGTCGCGGACCCATCGTCCGCCGCTTGACGTCCCGTCTGCAGAGTCGCATGTGTCGGAGTCTCGGAGAAGACCTGGATCAGGCATTCCCAGAGGACAACATCTCGGCACGGCACAACCGACTCCAGCTGCTGTCCTCGACTCTGAGCATGGGCAATTTAGTCTCGCAGTCCTCTAGCCGAGGACAAAGTTCCCGAGACCTCTTGTCGCCTGCTGGATCCACACGAAGCTTGGCGACCTCCTTGCACGATGGTTCCTTCAGCGGCAAACATCCCTCATCCATCCCTCTTGACCCCAGAGAACACGACTGGTTTGTCAAAGCGGCATCAGGCACATGGACCGACATCTATGCTCTATTCCGAGATGACCCGAACCTCCTGAGCAAGCAAGACTTCATATCCGGCTTCACCATCGTCCACTGGATCGCCAAGCATGGTGACCACCGCGTCCTGAATACGCTGTGGTACGGCGTCGACAAGGCTGGGATGACTTTAGACATCAATGCAAAGACCTTGTGTGGATACACGCCGCTCCACCTGGCGGTCATTCACGGCCACAAGAAATTCATTCGGCTCCTGGTGCAAAAGTTCAACGCTGACGTGCGGATACGGGACAGCAGTGGTAAAAGAGCATGGCAATATCTGAGCAAAAACGAAAACTGGGACATCTTAGAACTTCTGGGTGCCCCACAGAAATGCATCAGCGGTAGTCCAGCGACGCCAGCAAACCTGACCGCAAGACCTGCCAACACCAGGGTGAACATCAACAGACATTCATCTATCGCTGCACTGTTCAAACACAAGTCTCACTTGAGGGTCTCATCTAGTCCAGAAGCCTTTTAGGGACTAGATTGTTGTAAGGACCTAAACCCTTGCTCATAATGGTGGCACTTTTTGCTGGTGAAAAATCCCTTCGTTTTATAATTAAAAAATAGACACTTGCATTGAACGGTACAATGTTTTTCCTGTTTTGTTCTTGGTTTGTAACTTTATATATGTCTGGGTTTTGTGTGTTTTCTATGAAAGTCATTTATATATTCTGGCATTTTCAAACTGTTTCCCTTGTGAGGCCGATATTAAATACCTCTTTTGTATTATGAAAGAATTATGTTAAAGGAATAATTCACCCAAAAATGAAAGTCCTGCCATTTTTTTACTCGCCCTCAAACCTATTGGACTTTTTTTTTTGGTCCATGCAATTAATTTCAATGGGGTCCAATGCTGTTTTGGACCCCTAAGGACAAAAACAGCTCTTCAAAATATAAGAAGATACAAAGCCTTACAGATTTGGAACGACATGAAGATTAGTAAGTGATGGCAGGATTTTAATTTGGGTTGGCCTATCCCTTTAATAAGTCTAATATGCAGCAGTGTTTGGCTTTGTACTGACAAACTAGATTCTAAGTCATGTGGTTTCAGACCGAGGATCATCTAAATACATGTTCTGCTCATAACAAGTTGTTCATTTCCTCTGCAGGGACACATTTGGTTCAGTGCCCTGTAATTGTTTTTACCCTTGAGCTCTGCAGGTGCAGGAAGCTTTTTGTGCCCCCTTTTGTATTTAATCTAGGAAACCATGCTGTTCAGAAATGTCCATGTATCTGAGTGACATTTCAATCTCATTTAGATTTCTTTCTTGCTTTTCATATTGGGATGTTGCAGATGGTGTCTCTCACCACATGATCTCACACGTTGATGCTCTCCAGCACTGTATACGTTCATGATGAATACCAAAGATAAGCTCCTAGCTGGTTTAAACTGTTTAATATTTAACTCACCTTTCCTCCTTATCTAAATATGTTGAATGAGCAATAAAGAAAAAAACGCTCCAAATTCCAACTCATTTATAAGAACATTCCAGCTGTTGCTAAGGAGATGCCAAAACAACCGTGACTCACAGACCTCCTTAAGTGTTGCTTAAGCAACATCCGAGTGACTTGGGTCAAGCTTTCTCTCTCTCTCTCGTTTTGTTTTTCTCAGAATAATTTTATAGAGTGAGTTGCTGTGGGAATAGAAGTTCTGGATGATTTGCATGCTGAGCTAAACCAGTTTTTTTTCTTTCTGTCTGATCTGAGAGATAGAGAAAAGCAGCGTTTGGGAGGAGATGATCTGACTGGTGGAGTTGGGTGTTTTTCTTTGTCTCTCCCTATCACAATTGAGCTTTTTTTTGTTACTCCATGGAAACATCCCGGCCTGATTTGTGGGTATGAATGTTGTTTGCAGACATGTTTCGACATGTCAGGGTGTGTTGGCTGTGTTTCTGCTCCGCATTGAGCCTTGCATAATATTTACACTTTGTGATGCACCTTTATGTTCCAGGTTTATTATTTGAATAAAAGACAAAGACTTTGACCTTTGTAAAACCATCTTGACCTTTGATGCAATGCTTTAAGTTACAGTACCAATCAAATTGTTAGACCTTGAAATCCGCATTTATGGTTGTGCTTCATGCTGCATTTTTAGATCATTTTCTCTTTGGTTTCACAGAATTTCTCATCTATTACATCATGCCATAATCTCTAAACCTTTATGAGGCATATGCTGATTTCATGCTGCTGCTTAAATGATTCAGATTGCTTGCTCAGCCCTGAGAAAGTAGTGGATATCACTATGGATTAGCCGTTACTCTGATCTGGTTACCATTACATTGTTTGTTTGGCAGTTTCTTGTTCCTCGCTAGTTTCCGGTTGCAGTATTCTTTGAAGAACTGACCATATTATGACCGGTATCAAGTGACTTGATTCTCTCTAGGGATCATTCCAAGAATAAAGGTGCATGTATTCCCACACCTTCTGACCAATTGCCATGACTTTGCGATTAATAGTTTTCAGTGATTATGCTCGCAAAGAGCAATTTCTAGATGCTAAAGCATTTTAAAGTGTTACTGGAAACCAGTGAAATTTCTTTCCCTGCCCTTTTTACTTGGTTGAGCAACTGGTTTTGCTCAAATACAGAGCATTTAGAATATTCCCAGAGTTTCACCTATGCAGCATAACTTTTGGTTTGCACATGTGAGGTGAATACTTCAGACGTGTAGCATATTTTTTAAGCAATGAAATCTGAAATATTTGACAAGTACACCAATCATTTGACATAGATACATGTTATTCTGCTTCTAAACAGGGATGTATACAAGCATGAATTATTACCTATAAACAATTTTTAGGTATAAAAAGCAAAAATATTGATACTTTTTGATTGATCGTGTCATATAATATACTATTGAAAATCACAATCTGTAAGTAACAGCATATTAGTGTATCAATAAAATTGGTTAAATTAAATGCAATGAAGACAATGCCTGATGAAGGTCTCATGCTTGAAACGTTGCATTAAAATATGATTTCCAAGAGTGTGGGATTCATTTTTATTTTTTTTTAGCTATAAAACCGGTGAAATATGTGATTATGATAAACCAATTTTATTAATATACTAATATGCCAAGTGTCACATCTGCATTATAATTTTCAATAGTATATTTACAGGACATGATCAATCAGAAAGTGCAAGTGTTTTATTTCTATTAGAATTAAATCATAATTAAACTGCAAATAACGCAACACCAACACAATAATGTTGTATTTAAAAAATAGATTTATTTTGCTTCCAATTGTGCTCTTTTTGCTTTTAAACAGTGTAAAGCATGGCTGAACCGTTTCTTCAGATTAGCCCCATCAAAAAAACTATTGCATGTCTCAGATGACAACAGCAGTTCTGCCTCATACAAGAACAGTCCGATATAAACGCTTCCATTATGAGCTGCTATCATACAGATGTACAAGGGTTAGATATTTCGCAAATAAAGATGTTCTTCAAATAAAAAACAACCACAAATTAAAATAAAATGGCAAAATAGTTTGGGCATGTGCATTGTGATCAAACCAGAATGTAGAAAAAACCCTGCATTCAGCCGAGTTGTGAATAATATTCAGTTTTAACAGAATCTTTTGCTACTGAAACCAAGTACTGCCAAGTGCCGAGGAAGCATCATTATTGTCTCTGATTTAGATATAATAGCACCTGTTAAAGCCGCCCAAAAAACCCTCGTCATTTGCTTACAAAAATACAATTTCTATTCTGCTTTTTAACATCTACATTTTAAAATCACGAGGGGATTGAGTATGTACAGCAATGTACAAAATTGTTTCTAAACAACGTAAAATCATAAATAATCAGCTGTCGCTTTTATCAACGACAGGAATTTCAGATAGACAGAGAGTGTTTGTGTGTTCAATAGTTTCTTGTCTTTGTGACGTCATAGTGGTTCATGTGTTCCAAAGTGCTCAGGGCTGGAAATGATTTGTGTTTCGGCCAATCACAATGAGGCATTTTGTGCCATTGAATTAGCATTGTGCTTGTGCTTCAGTGTTGTGCTATATGCTAAGTATGTAGTGTAAATGCGCTGTGCATTTGTTTAGTGTAGATAATCCACAGTTATGGTCTTCCATACTTTAAAAAGTCGGAAAAAGTCATTTCCTTCATTTAAGGCACTTCTCAGTGTGCATTGCTTATAGTCAGTGTCACTGATTCTGATTCGTCCTCAGCTGTAAGCGATGTCATTCTATGATGGGCGGAGTCAGAGTGAGGTCACAGTGGTGGGACGTGGCAAGTTAAAACAGTGTGGCGTTTGGGGGGCGGAGTCAGTGTTCTTTGGGCGGGCTGCGGCGGGGAGGGTCTCCTCCAGCCTCTGCCCTTGCTCCTCCCCCTGCCGTATGAGCTCGTCCAGGTGGCGCTGGCGAATCAGAAGGGCGGGTTTGATGCGGATGTAACGCTGGTAGTCGCGCAGCTGTGGGCCGCTCAGGTAACTCGCCAGAATGTCCAGAACCACTCGCTCACGCCGGTCCAGGTTTTCCTTCAGCTCACGAGCGTCTTCCTGTTGACTGCACAACTGCTTCCTCTTCAGCTGCAGCGATTCCTATAGATTCAGACAAACATATCAGAAATTAATACTTTTATTCAGCAAGGATGCATTAAATTGATCAAAAGTGACAGTAAAGACTTTTATAATGTTACAAAAGATTTAAATGCTGTTCTTTTGAACTTTCTATTCATCAATGAATTGTCAAAAAAAATAACGTATCATGGTTTCCACAAAAATATGAAGCAGCACAACTGTAATAATAAGAAATATTTCTTGAGCATCAAATCAGCATATTAGAATGATTTCTGAAGGATCATGTGACACTGAAGACTGGAGTAATGATGCTGAAAATTCAGCTCTAATCACAAGAATAAATTAAATTTTTAAATATATTCAAATAGAAACCAGTTATTTTAAATAGTAATACTATTTAACAATATTACTGATTTTACTGTATTTTTGATCAAATAAATGCAGCCTTGATGAGACTTCTTTCAAAAACATTAAAGAATCTCACATTTTTAACAGTAGTGTATATACATATTTACAGTTGTGCATGATGCTAGATGAAACAGAAATATTATTTTCAATAATAATGTTTCAGCATGTCAACAGTCTCCAAATCATCAGCTGTCTTTGACATTTAAGGAATGACTAGTTTAGCTTACTCAGCAAACAAGGATGTATTTATGACAGGTCTAATGTTTGTAGAAGACTTCAATTGCATAATATTGCACACAGGTGTTTCCACCAAAAAGGCGTTTAACATCACTCTTAACTAGGGCTGGGCGATATAGCTAAAAAATGTATCAACGATATAATGTTTCTCGTATCGATAATTATTTTTTTAAAACATTGAATTTAACCACTGTATTTTTAATTTGCCCAATATATTACAAACAACATAACAGTCAAACACAAAATAAAAATGAAATGAATATCTCCTTTCTTATGTTTTATATGCAGATTAAATAAGTCTTAATGAAACTTTTGGCTTGTCTTCCGAGGCCACAGGAGGGTGCAATGAGCAAAATAATACAGCGCATTAAATTGTCAATGCAAATAACTGTCTATAAAAACGTGCATAACGTCTAAAATGAACATATATAAATCAAATATAATTTTGTAAACTGTATAAACAATTATGAACAAAACAGCATCATGTATTTATGCATTGCTTAATACAAAGAGCCAAATCGCCGATCACACAGATTGCATTATTAAACATATGAGACGCAGTGAAATGAAATAAACCCTCACAAATGCGCGTTGTGTTTTCTAAACGTTTAAACCGTTTTAACTTTGCATGGCTTTCTATACATCTCTTGTGTGAGACGTGAGTGCAGCAGTTATATTTGTCCATCTAAAAAATGCGCTGAATATGCGTTCTGTGAGAATGGCTTGGTTTCAGTTCTAACCTAATCAAGATCTTCTTCTCATTGAGCTTCTATATTTCTCTAATATTTTGAATGAATAACGCAGCAGCGGCACGTCTCATGGGCTTGACTAACAAAACATTCAAATGCAACAACGTCACTCACATCATCATCACCGCATCTCGTGCTCCACTAATGACGTTCGATTGTACCATTTTTGCATTCAAATGCAAATATTTATTTTAAATTCGACTAATATTCATTTTTGTTATTCACAATCTCCTCATCACAGGCAGGCATTTCAGCATGTGTTCGTGTTTGTGTGTGCTGTCTGCGTCACTCATAGTACGTGCCTATATCGAACGTTTTTTTTATCGTTATCGATGAAGGTGTACCGGCGATAAATATCGATACCGTTTTATAGCCCAGGCCTACTCTTAACAGATACTAATAGTACTCTAGGTTTTCTTTGTAACAGTTCCTGATGCCTGTTGAACAGGATTAGTCGTGTTAAACAATTAAATAAACAATGGAGCACAAGCACATGATTGTATGACTTAAAATGAAACTGTTTTGAAGATATAGGAATTGCTCTGATAAAAGTGTTGTAGACTGATATATTGTAAAAAAAAATACAAAATCAGGTTCATGAAATGCACATGCATGTGCAATATCTAAAATATCAATGCAGGTAATATTTAGACTTCATTTTAAACGCCATTATGTCATGAGATATTAAACACACAAAGTCTAATCATCATGAACTTGACCCTCAATTCGTGACGACGTTGATTCTGTGTAATTCGCAGATTAGACTTGATCTCTGTCCTCAGCTGAGTTTGAGACGCAGGTATCTGAAATGAATCTGTGTTGTTATATAATATTATGTCATTTAATTAGCATTTCTTGTTCTTTCTCAGTGTGTGAAATGTGTAATTATCTGGATCAGCCCTTTATTCAGTAAACTGAATGTTTAGGGAGTGTCAGGTTGGATTGTTGCTAGTTTTGGTCAATGGGAAGGTGTCCTGTGGTGAGAGGTATCAGTTTTTATTTATTCAATTATTTATTTATTTATTCATTCAGCAAGGATGCATTAAATTGATTAAAAGTGACAGTAAAGACATTTATAATGTTCCAATGTATGCTGTTCTTCTGAACCTTTTATTAAAAGAACCCTGAAAAAACTATCACCGTTTAAAAAAAGAAAAAAAAAAACGAAAACTACAGCAAAAACTACGTTCAACATTGATAATAAGAAGAAATGTTTCTTGAGCAGCAAATCAGCATATTAGAATGATTTCTGAAGATCATGTGACACTGAAGACTGGAGTAATGATGCTGAAAATTCAGCTTTGATCACAGAAATAAATTACATTTTACAATATATTCCTATAAAATAGTTATTTTAATTTGTAATAATATTTAATAAAATGACTGTATTTTTGGTGAGCAGCAGAAGAGACTTCTTTCAAAAACAATACAAAAATCCCCAAACCTTTGAATAGTAGTGTATAGAAATGCATTTGTCACACTACATGACCATTTACAATTTACTATTTGAGATTAAGGTGATTGCAAACAGGGAAAACTTGAAGAAAATATATATTAAAATATTCCCTTACACATTCATATAAAAAAATGTTGTTCATAACTTTCCCAATGCTATTGCACAATGTGTTTTTTTTATGTGTGTGATGCTGGCATCTCCCACAGGCAGAGTGGTTATGATGTTGTAATCTTCTAAAATGATCTCTAATGGTTGTTTTGTTCATGTTTATTTAAATCAGGATGGGTAAAAGTGGCTCTGCAGGGCAGTGGATCAGTCAGACTGATTACATTACAAACCGGATCCTTGTTTGTTAACTGGCGTATAAAAGGAGATAATCACATTTTCCTTGTTCTTTTGAAATGTTTGATGATTTATACCATGCCTGATCATATTGGTCTGAATTTTTGTGCACCACATTTTAGTGCAAATTGTTTTGCAAATGTGTAATGTAGGTCATTTGTAATGCAACTTTGCATAAACGTTGTTTGCAAGGATGTGACAGCACTAAATATAATGCATCGACAGCAGCAGGACATTTTTGCTGCTGTCCCTTTAAGACTTGTATGTAAACATCATATTTGCATATAAAATGAGCAATAATTCTTGCCCATTTCATATGCAAAAACAGTGTTTACATAGAAGTCTTAAAGGTACAATGGCAAAAATGTCCCATTTTGCTACAAGTTTGATATGCAACATATAATCATTGCTGTTAACAGTGTTCATCGTCTGTATGATTACCTTATTAACTGAATTTTATCGTACATTTCTGCCATATGTGCATCAATCTGACACAGTCACCACTGACTAGCTACTACTAAATATATTGTAGAAACTTAATTTCCTGTAAAGCTGCTTTGCAACGATTTGTATCGTGAAAAGCGCTATAAAAATGAACTTGAATTGAATTTATATGGATATATTTATAATATTTATATATTCATACATTTATAAATTAATTTTAAAATGATTATTTATATCTAATTATACTTTAGTGTAACTGAAATACTATAGTTTTTAAATATTTTGAATTCGTTTTGGCTTTTATATTTTCCCTGTTCATTTTAATGTTAGTTGTGCGTTTTTGTCATTACGTGTATATAGTTATTCATTTTTATTTCAGTTTTAATTATTTTTGTGCATTACGTTTAACTGAATGAAAATGTGGCTTTGGAAACTAGCTACGTTTTTTTTTTAAACTTTTTTTTTTTCAAATTAAAAAAAATAGATATAGTTATAGTTTACGTTTTAGTTAACTATAATAACCCTGTTCTTAATTTCAGAAAGATTAAATAAAAAAGATCATGATAAAACCGATTTTGGTGCAAGAAACTAATATTATAATTATTAATATTATTTTAATATGATTATATATTAATATTATAAATTGACCTCGGGGGGTTAAAAAAAAGTAGAAAATTCTCTGTTTATTTTCTGGAGCACTCCTCACCCTCTCTTCTGCAGTGTGGTCGTCGCTCAGCCCGTTGAGAGCGTTTTCCACGCGGGCGAGTCGAGCGCTCAGCGACAGCAGCAGGTTGACGATCTTCTCCAGGTCTCCGACGAACATGCGGTACTTCTCTCTCTCGTTGGGTTTGCAGCGCTGCTGAACTAAAGCCTCCATGCTCTCGCCTAGAGTCGTGAAGCGCTTCTGCTGCTCCGACAGCCCGTCTCTCTCCCCCTGCAGCGACCGCATGCTCACCTGCAGCGCTTGCAACAGCTCCACCTGCAGGACGGGACACAACACTGCACCATCAACAAACAGAGTTCTGGGAAATGAAGAATGGCTTTGTGCTCAGTGTCATTGTTCTCATTTTTGTGCCACTGCATTCAGTGAATACAACGTGAATCCAGTATGAGAGTGTAAACAACGCAATAAAGGTTACCACACAGCAAAGAAATAAATATCCAAAAATATTTTAAAATATATTTCGGATTGTACAAAATGGCCCAAAAACAAAGATGTTAAAGCATGTTTACATACATAAATATATAAAATAAATCAAATATTCATATATTACAGTATAAATATATTTTTGATTGATTTTAGTTACTTATATTTCCTAGTTATTATTAGATGATAAACATATTTAGACCAATAAACATAAAATGTGTACATCAAAATAAATATGCATTACAAATATAAACATATTTTGGTAGTTTGCTTATATGCGGTAAGTGCTTATCTTTTCCTAGCTATTATTAGATTTGCATAAATATACTAAATGTATGTATAAAAATATTACAAATATAAATATATTTTTAGACATTAAATAATTAAATGGTAATATAACAATAATTAAATAAAATGTATACATGTATTAAAAAGTATTTAGTTTAAAGAAAAAAGATGACTCATTTAAATATATATTTGGATAGGGTTTAGTTATTTATATTTCCTGGTTATTATTAGATGTTAAAACATTTAAAATCTATGTATAAAAACAAATATTTATGCATTACAAATATAAATATATTTTGATAGGTTTTAATATTATTATCAGATGCTGAAACATACATAAATATAAAAAATATGTATAAAAATATTTATAAATTTGAAATAGTTACTTTAAATTTTGTTACTTACATTTCCTAATTATTATTCATATTTATTTTTATATTTTCATTTATAATGTGTGTATCTGACCTTGTTCTGATTCAAGTAAGCTTCTTCGTCGTCCAAGTTGGTTTCCATTTTTCTTGGAACAGCCTGAGAGGGAGTATCTGGACCAGCTTGAGCCCTAATGGAGGTCAAACACATGAAACAAAGAGAAACGTTTGTCTTGTTCACACTAGTTTTCCTCCTGCATGCCCTATTTTTCAGATACAGGGACAGAGAATGGCTAAAATTCACATTCCCCGTGTCAAACAGAGCACACGTAATTACACGTTTAGTTCAGCGGCACAACAGAACAATCACACACACCGCATGTCAATGGAGCAAAAAAAGGACTGTGGTTAACCAGTAACAGATAAATGTTTGAAAACCATTACTGTGGTGTTACCATGGTTCATACAGTACACAAAAAATAAATGGGTTCAGTTCCCAGGGAATGAGTAAAAAATGTATTCCTTTAATGTAATGCAAGTTGCTTTGGATAAAAGCATCTGCCAAATGCATAAATGTAAAAAAAATAAAAAATAAATATTACTCCAGCACATGTATAAAAAAGCTATGGTTTTTCAAGGTATCATGTCCAAAAAAACATTTCAATGTTTGGTTAATCAGATGCATTTCCTGAAAAAAATATATTGTTGTGAAACAATATATTATATGAGCTTATCTGCAAGACTTCTACATTCAGCAGGTGGATGGTAAAGACTGAAGGGTGAGAAATGTGTCTATTTCAGGATCGGCCACTAGATGTCAGTGTAGTTCTGCTCTGATTAGCGGGTCACCCATAATTATAGAGTAAATGTTTTACCAGAGCACCAAAGACAAATTAATGTGAAACATCTTGAACTTGCTTACTTTTTCATTCTTGGTGTGTTTGTGTTGGTGATAAACTGTAAATCCTGTTTTCAATGAATACATTTCATTTTTTCTTCAAACACTTTCAAATTACGGTCAAATATGGCACCTCAGATCAGTGTATTTATGTTTTATTTAACATATGGATATCTTATTGCATTGAACCTTTTTAAATATGTAAGGCCATGTTTTTTGGACCATGGTATTCTTTACTTGGAGTAATGATATAGCAATTTATATCAGCCAGGCCGATTTATTGACTGGTGCTTGTCTGCTTGGTGAAATACCATTTAAAATCTACCAATAATCTTGTCAAAAGATAAAAACACTTACTTTTGAATATATGTTATGTAAAATAGAAATAAATTTTTATTCATTTAATTTCTCTTTTCCTATAATGAAACTTTATTTATACTGGCAGTGTTATTTAGTATTATTTATATACAGTTACAGTATTTATTACTAGTAAATGATAAAAGTCCATAAAATTACAGAAAAAAAAAACTAAAAATTTAAATGAAGTACTTTTAAAATAAGTTACTTTTATTTTTATATTTTTAGTTTTAATCTGAATGTTTTTGTACTTTTATGAACATTTTTATTTATTTTATATAACTTTTTTTATTTGGTACTTCAACTTGTTTATTTCTTTTTTTTTAATCATTTTTGTTTACATTTTTTAACGTTAAGTATTTCATCGAATAAATATATTTTATTTAATTTTTATTAATTTTATATCACCTTATTTTTTTTATATTTGGTACTTCAACATTTCATTTATAATTTTTGTTTACATTTTTTAAGTTTAAGCATTTCATCTAATAATTATATTTTATTTCAGCTTTATTTCAGTTCAAACAATAATAGTTTTAGTTCTAACTAAGTGTAAAACCACTGCATCCTGGTCTCTAGATATCTTTAACACCTATTAAAAACGCTATATCAGTCGTTCACTGCCTTGTGTACCATGTAAATAGCATGCTAAATGAGTACAGTAATCACTGAGTTAATAATATACATCAAAGTACAATATTATCATCCAAAACCATCTCTGTAACATAGTACCGCCACAGTTGCGGTACTAAGGAACATGAGTGAATTATGCACTAAATACAAGAAACTCACAGAAGTGTGAGATCTATTGTTGAGTTATCGCAATGAAATTAGACCGTGACCTGCAAGCACTAATATAATCAGCTTTAAACAAAGTGCTCTTGTGTTTATCAGCCCTGTGAGCATGAAATCCACCTGATTATTGGGTAACGCTATATTCATGATTCCTGTGCTTTACCTTCAACATCTGTTCAACACTCACCTGTCACTCAAACGGCTGCCGCCACTGATCGTCCTGTGTGAAGGGAAGATGTCCTCCATCAGATCCAGGGTGGTTTTACCTGCCCAGGTGTCCAGGAGTGAGGTGAGGGATTTGTCGTGGCTCACCAGCTCTCGGGCTAAAGTCTCCACGAGCAGCTCGGCTTGTGTCCGCTCTCGTCTGGACAGCAGATGGTAGTCGGCGCCCAGGATCTCAGAGGCGTCCTGCACTGGAGGAGCGCTGACGGGCGACTGGGGTTGAGAGGCAGCGCTGGTGTTGTCAGGGCTCACTGATGGAGTCAGGAGCTCACCCTCTAGATGGGCTGTTGCGTCAGTCAGATTCTCACAATTGCTGCAACGTGAAAAGAGAGAAAATCATGTAACGGTAATGAGATTGAAGGATCGACGGCATGACAAAAATTCATTTCCACCAATTCCTTCCTCTTCTTTTGAAAAAGATAAAACACAAGCAAAATCTGAGTTAAAATCAGGCATTTACAAAGAAAAGTAAATGGAGCTGATTTGTAAATTGTTAAATTAATCACTATTTCAATAGTACAGTCACAAGATATACACAACACGTGTGTTAAAAGTGATTTTAGAGTGAGAAAACCGCAAACTAACCTAAAACAACTGAAAAAAACGTTTAAAGAGCTCTACAGCTCAAATAATATGCAAGTTTTGACAACATTAAAAATGTTTTTATAAAATTATAAGCTTTATACTATTAAGAGAATTTAAAAGCAGAAAACTTCCATTTTAATTACCCATATGGAGTCCGGCCCAAATATATTTAGAAATATATGTTGTAAGCAGCACAGCTTAAAGAAATATATTTTTCAAATGAGAAAAATATTTAGTTTAAACCTTTAAATGCCAAAATATTTATTTTCAGATTTAAAATACTTTTTTGGGTTAAATGCAAAATGTTGTTTTTTTTAATAAATACATTTGTTTATACAATATAAACATATTTAGAATGAAAATATATTAAACATGGCCAAAAATAAATAAGAAAATAATACTTAGCAAAAATCTATATTAATTTGTGTAAATTTATTTTACAAATACGTTAGCATTTTTATTTTTGTATTTTGCATTACATTAAAAATACACCTGCATATATTTATTTTTTGTAAAAGAAAGAAAACGGGGGACGAATTGCAGATGTTTTTTGTGGTATTCAGCATTGTCACAAATGCTGCCAACTGAGTTTAACTTGTATTTTCCATTTTAATTACCCATATGGAGTCTGGCCCAAATATATTTAGAAATATATGTTGTAAGCAGCACAGCTTAAAGAAATATATTTTTCAAATGAGAAAAATATTTAGTTTAAACCTTTAAATGCCAAAATATTTATTTTCAGATTTAAAATACTTTTTTGGGTTAAATGCAAAATGTTTTTTTTTTTAATAAATACATTTGTTTATACAATATAAACATATTTAGAATGAAAATATATTAAACATGGCCAAAAAGAAATAAGAAAATAATACTTAGCAAAAATCTATATTAATTTGTGTAAATATATTTTACAATTACGTTAGCATTTTTATTTTTGTATTTTGCATTACATTAAAAATACACCTGCATATATTTATTTTTTGTAAAAGCGCATCTACTGTACATGGTCATCATCATACCAGAACCATTATCGTTTACATAAAGGATAATTATTCTCCTAGATAAATGGCCTTCTTAACCATTCCAAATATTTCAAACCATGACGGGTCGTCCATTATCTCCAACTCCTCCTCTCTGGCACAGAAGGAGTGCAGTTATCTGTTGCATATCTGTCAGATCTCTGACTAAAGCCCAGGCTCTGTGGCACCAAACAGGAAGTGAGGAGCACTGGCCTCTTCCTGTGGAGCACCAGGAGTGGGTACAAAAATGATTATCTGCCCACGTCTAGGAAAGGGACTGCTCCATTGCCCTACAGCGGACAGACCACCAAGTACCATAATTGGCTGAAAACTTATGCACTGACTATCACTGAACACCAGCCTGACTGTTCACCCAAAATTAAAATGCTATAAATGACTCACCCTCTTGTCATTCCAAAGACTTTATTTCTTCTGTGGAACATAAAAACAGACATTTTGAAGAATGTTTCAACCTGTTTTTGTCCATACAATGAGCTTAAGTCGATGGCGCCAAAAACAAGGTCCATTTGGACCCCATTGACTCTTATTGTATGGACAACATTCTTCAATGTATCCTCATTTGTGTTCCACAGAAAAAATAATAAGTCACACAAGTTTGGAATGACATGAGGATGAGCAAATGATGACTAGGAAGAAAAATTTGTATAGTTTGCTTGTGACCGGGTGTGGGAATGTCGCTTATTCTGAGAAGAACGGATTCTCTTCAGTTCTGAGAGTTTTTCATTAGCTTTCTAGTTAGGGAAACTCAGAGTGAGTAATTGGTTTAAACTATTCAATAAGAGGGTTAAAAGAAGCAAATTTACTCTGCCATGAACATTACTGTTTAACTTTGTGTGGTATGAAGTCACGTCACTTCAATGATCTAACCAATGACAGTCAAATTCACCCAGCTTGTTTGCCACCTAATAAATGATTGTTACCTGACTAAAGTTCTCCACTGGAGATGACTTGGAGCGGAAGTGCTGAGGAACGGGACGTTCTTCACTACGGTCCAGCAAATCCTCAGCTGAAGCTGACCTCCCTGAGCTTCTGGCAGAGGTGGCTCTCTCAAAAGCGGCTTTCAAGTGCTGTGGAAGGTTATGTCTGGTCAGGACCGGGCCCGATTTGTGAGATTCAGGATTTGTGCCTTGTGACTGCTGGCCAAAAACCTCAGGCTGTGTGTGGTTTGGGCTGCCCCTAGGGGGGTAAAAGGGGCTTTGCATTCCTACTGGAAGGGTGGAGGCTTTACGTATACCACCAGTGAGGCCATCGTATGCTGGCTCTTGCAAAGAGCACATACTTGGGGTGGAGATTAGGCTTTGCAAGTCAGCAGAAGAGGAAGAAGCAGACTGTAGATAAGCGCTATGTGGGCGATTTGAATGTCCGTCTACTCTTCTACCTGTTTTGCGTTCCATATACTCAACAAGTGCATCTTGTTGCATTTGCTTCAAATCAGGCCTGTAGGAGAAAAAACTAGGGTCAGTGTTATGATTCGCCACCTGCTCGAACATCCTGCGTCTGTCCGCAACACTCATCTCACTAGCCAGAAACTGCTGTTGAACCTTCCTGTCAGCCTGATTGGTTTCCTGAGTCAACACTCCAACTTCATGCATGTTTTCAGGCTCAGAATACGATCGTTTCTTTTGCACCATTGTGAATCGTTTGCGTCCACAGATCCGCATAACTGGGGGTCCAACAGCTGGGACACTGGGGAGTTCAGGAGGAGGGGCTCTGCTTGGTGCTTCAACAGGAACAACATGGCGTTCCTTTGGAGTGTGTGGGGATGTTGTAGCTGGTGTGGGACTTGTACTGGTTCCTTTTCGTTCTAGAGACATGTGTTTAGCTGGCACTGGTGGAGGGTTAACACTAAGGTCACGTCTTCTGAAGGAAGTTGACCTCAGAACTTTAGACTGGGCATCTTTAATGCTGTCTCTATATGCTCTGTTAAAAGATGTGTCTTGGATGGTGCCTAATATGTCATGAATGTCACCTTTCCCATGGATTTCTTTTCCATTCCCCTCACCAAGCTGAAAGGTGCTCTTACTTCTTTGAAGACAGGTCTTGTGGGTAACGACAGGCTCTTGTTGCTGGCGATGTTGGACATGATCACTACTTGCATGTCTTGTTAGGAAATCCTGATGCATATCCATGTGTCCATCATAACTTGCCATGCTAGAAGCACTTTGAGTTCTCCCATGAGGGACCGAGCTGTTGCTGCACTCCAACATGTTGCGTACATCCTCTACACCAGAGAAGGAGCTCTTGGCACTGGAAGGTCTTGGCATTTGGCTCGAACGAGCCGTAGAACCATGGTGGGAGAGGCTGCTATGACTGCGAGGTTTGCCTTTCTGTCTCTCAAAATGACTTACTTTCTCCAGCACGGACATGCTACGCTCACTTTGGAAACTAGTTGTACTCTCGGGACTGGCACATCGTTGAACCTCAGCAAGTGCATTCTCCAGTCTGGTTAGGGGATGATCCAGGTCTTGCGCTTTCTGCTGGAGAGCACTAGAGTCACTGAAGTACCTTGAAGGTTTGACTATGTGGTCATTTCCTTGAGTTTGAATGAAGTTTCCTCTGTATGTTTGAGCAACTTGTCCCTGTGAAATTTTCCCAGTGTATCCTGGGTCTGGATGGATGCTTTGCTTGTTGCATTTATTTAGTTCTTCATCTTGAGGTGGCCTGTACTTGTCGTAATCCTCCATACCAAGTGAGAACCTTGGTCTCTCTCCTCTTGGTTGCACCGGGGTGTAAGGGTCCCTCCTCTCCTGAGGTACATATGGTGTTTGTGACTTCTGCATTTGTGGTTGCAAATGAGGCCGATAAAAACCAGGTTTGACTTGAGTGTCATCTTGCACTCTATCGGAGAGCTTTGGTTGTGCCGAAACATGGGTTTGGACAGGATCTGAGCTAGGAGCATTGCTTTGGTATCCATTTTCAATGGTCACCCTGTCCTCTTTCACTGGTCCACCTAAGTGGTCACAGTGATGGTTGTGCTTGCTCTCCTTGGCCAGTGCTGGGTAGACACTACCAGAGCTAGGGTTGCTGGTTGGAATTTGTGCAAAATGAGGCTCAGGAGGTGGAACAGGGTAGATGCCAGTGGGTAACATGAGGCGACCGGGTTGTGCGGCCTGAGGAAAACCCTGTTTGGGTTTGGTAGTGGGGCTACTTTCGGGGCTCTTTTCTATGACTGTGTGCAACTGACCTTCAGCCCCAAACGAGGACTTTCCTGTTGCCACAGAACCACTTGAGTGATGCCAGGAACCCTTGTGAAGTGCCCGCTGTGACCGAGCATGTTCAAGACTCGACCAAGAGTTGGGACGCTCATGATTGCGAAATGCTGCATAGCTGTCACTGCGTAATGGAGGTGCTGGCACCCCCTTTAGGTTCTCATAGGAATGCCGGTTGTGTGCTGGATTCCAGACTGGCCCAACACTGTGGCGTTGTGAGCTGGAGGTGCTTCCACTACTCCCACTGCTTCCACTACTACTGCTGCCATGGTGACAGATCTGTCCTGAGACATTCCCACTTCTAGACTGTGCTCTGCTGTCACTGGATCTCATAATGGCTGCAGAGCTGATCTCATGCTCTTCAGACACACCCTGTTGGGGGTCATACACAGTGCGTATGTAGCGTATATCAGCTTTCTGCATCCCTTCTCTCTGCGGAACGTTCTCCATGGAATATGACCTCTCTTTGTTAAACGATGGTGCCGCCGCAAGGTACTCTGGGATACTGGAGCTGGTCGAGAAGGAACTGTATGCAGAATCCCGCTTGCTGTGCAGATGATCAATGCTGCTGGAGGATTTGGATGATGATAGTTGATAGCAGGAGCTGTAGGCTGGGTGAGTGTGGTCTAGGCTCTCCATGCTGCCGCGGGAACTGTACTGATCTGGGCTCTTCCTAAGGAATCCTGACTCAAATCCTGATAGGTCTGTGCTTGAGGCACTGTAGAAAAAAAACAAGAGACACATGAGTAACATATTAATAACTGTATATACTGATTCAAGTTATTTAGAGTTATTAGATTAAAAGGAAAACATCAATGACCCAAAATAAATTCTATTAAATTAATTGTGGTATAGTGAGATAGGACAATGCACAAAACAACATGCAATTAAATAGTAGTCTCATTATTTTACTGGGATGGGGAAAAAGAGAAGAATGGACCTAAGAGCAATAATTTTTACTTGGATAATATAACTGCAGATCGAGATGCTGTTCTGGTTGTCAGTCTGAGCTAAATTAGTAGCTGTTACAGACTTGGATAGACATCAAAGACATTGATTTTACTGCTTCTTATGAAATAAGAATGAGTTCATAGCCACAATTTGAGTTTTTTTCTATCCCTGTGACTCAATTCAACACTAGAATGAACAAAGATTAGATTACACCTGATAAGAATAATGTCACAATGCACTTATTGATGTCTGGACTGTTTACAACATATCTGGTGTTGATTACACTGTAATATCCATAAAGTTCTAGTGAATTTGCATCGAGATTTCCTTTCCTCATACTTCCTCTTCTCTCTTCCCTGGCCTAATGATAATGTGACAAATCTACACCGTTAGATCTGTTACCAAACTCATTGACTGTGGGACTCGGCTACGTAAAGGTTGGAATCATGGCAATACGTTTTTGAATGTGTGTTGGACAGTGATGCACTGGGTCTGCTGAGGCGACTGCCCTTTTATGGGTATGTGATTGCTGAACTCTGAAAGCTGGCATCAGACTGCTGGTATTTCTACTGGCATAATTAACATGTCACTGACCCATTGTCACCAGCTCTGCAGTTACCCCTCTAAGAACTAGATCAACCAATCACAAGTCAGTCCATCAAACAATGACCACCAGGTCTCAGAAAGTGGAATGCTATTGGTGTTGCCCACGGTGACCATTGCCATGGGAATCTTCGGAAGGTTGTTGAGGGAGTGTCATCCCAAAGAATGTTTTTTTTTTCATTAGAACGTGCGTCAATGCTTTGCCCTCTGGTCCTCTTCAAACACTCAAAATGTTTTTCTTTCAGTGTCATCATTGATGGCCCTTGAACGTTCTGGTCTAAATACAGTGATAATGACAGAGATAACAAGCGCACAAGGTTTTTGAATGTTTGGGGGAAGTATGCGGCAACTAAACAAATTATGTCCATGATCATACACAAAAGGAAACTACCAACAGAAAGACAATACAGCCACTTCTGACCAAAATAACCAACATTCATGTCTACTAACAGTCATATTAAAGGACTTCTTAAAGGGGCCCTATTATGCTTTTTCAGTTTTTTTATTTTAGTCAGTGTGTAGTGTGTATGTTTGGGCATAAAAAAGATCTACAAAGTTACAAATCTTAAAGTCCACTTCAAAGCGAGATATTTAGTTTTTAAAAAATCCTTTTCAAGAACTACAACGAACGGCTCGTTTGGACTACAGCGTTGGTTTCCAGGGTTTGTGATGTCACAAAGCGGCCAATTAGAATATCATTAAAATAATTCCTGCCCAAGGAAATTCGAATGGTTGGGGGGCAGGGAGGGGTGAGGTCGTGGTTAGAATGCTTGGTTGAGTGCATCAGACAGGACGACAATGAAGAAGAAGTGCTGCTGCAGAGTTAGTGCATCAGAGAAAACGAAGAAAAAGAAGAGCTGCTGTAGCATCAAGTTTTCGCCATGTCAGTCCATATCCGTGCGTGCAAAGGTTCTGCACGATCCTTTTGTTCAATATTCTTGGGGTCTGAATCCGGCTCAAATTGATATGGCAATATTGACGCTATTCTTAACCGTAGCAGACGGAACTTGCTGCTTTGGCAAGGGGCGGGGCAGTACTGAAACACCGTCTAAGCTGTTCGCCAATCACAACGCACTGGGACAGCTAACCAATCACAACACATTTAGTTTTTCGGAAGGCGGGCCTTCATCAAACCCGGAACTAATCGAGCCGTTTGTGCCAGGCAGGGGAGAAAGGTATGTTAATAATGTAAATTATGTGAAAAATAATGCGTTTTTCGAACCACCAAGCATGAGAGCATGTTCTAGTACACCCCCAAAACAAAATCAAGAATTTGTAAAAGAGCATAATAGGACCCCTTTAAGCCATTGGATTATGAATATGCACCCACATGCCACTACATCGTCAAGAGCTAATTTCAAATATTTTAGTGTGTGTATATGGCATGCTGGATAACATATTCATGTATCAAGAGGTTGCAACTTAACAGAAATACCTCATGAAGTCAAATCAGGTGCTGCAACCCAAACTAAGGACACATAACATTCTCGCTCTCTGAATAAATGTTGTCATTGTAAGTGGATTATTGCTAAGCTGATTTGGCAGATCCTTCAGTTGCATTGCTGGGAACTGTAAAAAATGTCCTCTTCACGATTGTATCTCAGTCACGATCAAATCTCACATGCTAGCCTTGTGAAATATAGAGAAAGAATGGATGAAGAAAGACAGCGTGTTATATTGTTTGCTCTTAAACCGAGGCACTAGACTGCAGGTGTGTTTGTGTTCGAGTTGCACTGACCTGGAGTGGTAGCTCTGGTGCCAGGGGGCTCCCACACCACCCTGGGTGACTTGCATCATGCTGTCTGAGTCCTGAGGGACCTCACCCAGCTTTGTAGAATGCCAGGAATGAGGTCGAGATCCAGGCTCACTCCGTCTGGGAAAGAGAGATTTAAAGGAACATAAAAATCTATGCCTTTCTTTTGCAGAATACAACTTAAACACAGAGTTAAACACAAATACAGTGACTATGCTTTCACAAAAAAATAAAATATAATACAAAAACCAAAGTCAGAAATAGTTTAGTGAGAAGTCAAAGTAGTTTAATGTAAACTTAAAGCATGCATTGTCTTGTGTAGTCAAGGCCACTGAGGATCAAAACATCCCTGAAGAATGTGGCACTGCCTTATAACCAGCATCTCACTGTGTAAACATCAGTACATAGATACTTCTTAATGTAGTCACTGACAGATTGAACATTTATATATTATAAATATTTATTCCTAAGAATGAGAAATACAATTCTGGGAAGCTGGAAGTAGATTTCTATTTCTGTTTTTTTGGCACAGGGTGCTGAAGTGTGTTTTCGAAACATGGCAAGAATGTCGGCATTGTCTAAAACAAAAACATTTTTGGTTTCAAACGGCGTGGAACATAATGAATGTTTTTCATATAACGATCAGCAGACTGTCTGTACCTACTGCTGCTCCAGACATTCAAACACACACAATGCCAGTTTGTGCCCAACCAGTCTGCTGACTGAAGTGACCTACTAAGGTCTTTAATGATGGTGTGAGATCAGTAGTCAGAAAGACAAACCCAGTATAAGACTAAAGATCATGTTCAGTCAGCTGACTGGGCAAGTGTAGCACATACCTCTATTAGTACTCCTCTAGAATTGCGCCATTTTATAACTTTGGGTTTGAATGAAGCATTAAAGTTCTAGGGCATGAGTATTGTAGTGCAAGCAGTGGTAAAGTGTTTAGGAAGTAGGGCTGCACGATTTGGGGAAAAATCGAATTGCGCTTTTTCTGATAAAAGTTGTGATTGTGATTTGAAATGCTTTAAATGCTTAATGCAATTTTAAAAAGTAAAAAAAAGAAGAAAAAATCAATATGACTTTAAAATATTATATTAATGAAATATTATTATTATTATTATTAAATTAACATATTAAACAAAAGAAATATTACAAATATATCACAAAAATATAGTTATTCTTTGTTTTAGGATCCTAATGCTTAAAATTTTTTTTTTTGAAGCTCCAGGTTTGCTGTGCTTGTTTATAGAGCTTTATTATTATAATTAACATATTAAACAAAATAAATATTACAAATATATCACAAAAATATAGTTATTCTTTGTTTTAGGATTTTAGGATCTAAAATTTTTTTTTTTGAAGCTCCAGGTTTGCTGTGCTTGTTTATAGAGCTCACAATTAGGCCAAACATTTTGTGATTTATATATTAACATGACTATAATAATAATAATAATAATAATAATAATATAAAATAAGAAATATTACAACTGAAATATACCACTGTAAAATAAAAAAGATAGTATGTAGTATAGTAAAAACGATAGTTTTAAAAGCCACAGGTTTGCTATGCTTGTTTGTAGGGCAGCAAATTTTGGCCAAACACTTTGTGATTAGATATATTATATATCATTATGACAACAACAATAAATCTAAATATTAAACAAAATAAGAAACAGTACTATAAAATCACTATAAAAAAAAAGATATTCTGTTTTTGTTTGAGGTGCTGCAATGTCCTCCACAAAGCTGCAACTACATGATTCAGACTGATCACATTTCTCAGGACAATGAAGTGTCTTAGCCTCCACATAGTTTGTTTCCTTAACAACCCACTCCCTTGAACTTTGACCCTGCTCTATGGAGACAGATCAGACACTGCATCTGCAAAACATCTGGCTTTTATGACATGTTGCTATGGAAGTGACTTTCTTGCTGCTTTAACACACCCTCTTCCAAAGGGCCGCTCCTTCTGACCAGGCTAGATTTGGACAAGATCTGTCATAATGACTCCCTAAAAATCTATGCCTTTCTTTTGCAGAATACAACTTAAACACAGAGTTAAACACAAATACAGTGACTATGCTTTCACAAAAAAATAAAATATAATACAAAAACCAAAGTCAGAAATAGTTTAGTGAGAAGTCAAAGTAGTTTAATGTAAACTTAAAGCATGCATTGTCTTGTGTAGTCAAGGCCACTGAGGATCAAAACATCCCTGAAGAATGTGGCACTGCCTTATAACCAGCATCTCACTGTGTAAACATCAGTACATAGATACTTCTTAATGTAGTCACTGACAGATTGAACATTTATATATTATAAATATTTATTCCTAAGAATGAGAAATACAATTCTGGGAAGCTGGAAGTAGATTTCTATTTCTGTTTTTTTGGCACAGGGTGCTGAAGTGTGTTTTCGAAACATGGCAAGAATGTCGGCATTGTCTAAAACAAAAACATTTTTGGTTTCAAACGGCGTGGAACATAATGAATGTTTTTCATATAACGATCAGCAGACTGTCTGTACCTACTGCTGCTCCAGACATTCAAACACACACAATGCCAGTTTGTGCCCAACCAGTCTGCTGACTGAAGTGACCTACTAAGGTCTTTAATGATGGTGTGAGATCAGTAGTCAGAAAGACAAACCCAGTATAAGACTAAAGATCATGTTCAGTCAGCTGACTGGGCAAGTGTAGCACATACCTCTATTAGTACTCCTCTAGAATTGCGCCATTTTATAACTTTGGGTTTGAATGAAGCATTAAAGTTCTAGGGCATGAGTATTGTAGTGCAAGCAGTGGTAAAGTGTTTAGGAAGTAGGGCTGCACGATTTGGGGAAAAATCGAATTGCGCTTTTTCTGATAAAAGTTGTGATTGTGATTTGAAATGCTTTAAATGCTTAATGCAATTTTAAAAAGTAAAAAAAAGAAGAAAAAATCAATATGACTTTAAAATATTATATTAATGAAATATTATTATTATTTATTATTATTATTATTATTATTAAATTAACATATTAAACAAAATAAATATTACAAATATATCACAAAAATATAGTTATTCTTTGTTTTAGGATCCCTAATGCTTAAATTTTTTTTTTTTGAAGCTCCAGGTTTGCTGTGCTTGTTTATAGAGCTCACAATTAGGCCAAACATTTTGTGATTTATATATTAACATGACTATAATAATAATAATAATAATAATAATAATATAAAATAAGAAATATTACAACTGAAATATACCACTGTAAAATAAAAAAGATAGTATGTAGTATAGTAAAAACGATAGTTTTAAAAGCCACAGGTTTGCTATGCTTGTTTGTAGGGCAGCAAATTTTGGCCAAACACTTTGTGATTAGATATATTATATATCATTATGACAACAACAATAAATCTAAATATTAAACAAAATAAGAAACAGTACTATAAAATCACTATAAAAAAAAAGATATTCTGTTTTTGTTTGAGGTGCTGCAATGTCCTCCACAAAGCTGCAACTACATGATTCAGACTGATCACATTTCTCAGGACAATGAAGTGTCTTAGCCTCCACATAGTTTGTTTCCTTAACAACCCACTCCCTTGAACTTTGACCCTGCTCTATGGAGACAGATCAGACACTGCATCTGCAAAACATCTGGCTTTTATGACATGTTGCTATGGAAGTGACTTTCTTGCTGCTTTAACACACCCTCTTCCAAAGGGCCGCTCCTTCTGACCAGGCTAGATTTGGACAAGATCTGTCATAATGACTCCCGCAAGTAAAACATCTGCACTCAATGCTGAGCAAAGAACAGAAAACACGTCTGACCACCTTATGATGGTTCGAATTGCAGCTAGATCGGAAATTTTCTTGTAAACAGGAAACACTGATCTAGAAGTAGATTCACAGGAACGCAGATATTTTATCTAGGGAGGATAATTATGTTGCTTTTCTTTTTTAAATAGTTGCTGTAATGATTAATCATATCATATTCCGATTGTGGATTCATGCCCTGGATCGACAAGAAGTTATTCATTTGTTGTAATATGAAATACTTTAAGAGAGGGTGATTATGGTTAAATAAAAGTAGAACTATTAAAACATTTTTGTAAATTTAAATATAAGAAAATTAAATAAACTAATCAAATCAAATAAAAACACTTTGGAAAAACTTGTTAGAAATATTAGTAATGAACTGAAATAAGTTTACGTTGAATCACAAAAATGAATAAACTGCAAATAAATAAAAACTAAAACTGAACTAAAAGTAAATTATACCTAAATAGTAATATATAAAATAAATAACACTATTACAAATGACTAAAGCACATAACAAAATTACTAAGAATTAAACTGAAAATCTACAGTAAATAATACTAAAAAACACTGCTTTTAAAACGACTGTTAAATGACTACTAGAATTAGAATTACAAATTAAATTAGAATTAAAAATGAAATCCTATTCAGCGCCATGCAACATTGCATTTTCCAAAATGTCTTCTTTTGTGTTCCACATAAGAAAGCAAGCCCTACGGGTTTGGGGTGAATTAATCATGACAACATTTTAATTTCCTTTAACTTTATAGGTTTATAAAGGTTTATAGAGCAAGCAGTGAACATAAAGCAGGTCAAACCCAGTAGCATTCTAGTTAAAGCATTACCTGACCTGCAACCGATCATTCCCTTGCTATCCTCCCTTACCAAGCACTTAGCAGTTACCTTGCAGTCAGTCTCAGCACTTTAGAGATCAGACCCGTGGCCAGACCGTTGACACTGGTCTCCGACGGTGCCTTGCAAAGAGCCCCGTCCGATCTTCCCAGGTCTGATTTCTGCTTCCTCCGCAGCTTTTTGCGGTAAAATGCCCCGAGCAGCTCCATGCCGTCTTTAGCCGTCTTCTGATAAACTGAGAATAAAATGCGAGGCGGCTGGAAGGGTTGGCGGGGTGCAGTTTGACGATGCAAAGATCATTAAAACACGCAATTAAATGTCATTAAAAAGTCACGATAAGAACTAGAATAAACATCCTGCCCTCGCCAGCACTGGACAAACATATTTCAAAAACGAAGATAGGGAGGAAAAAGCTTCCTTCCTGAGATTCAATATTAGAGTTGTAAAGAAGGAGTTGGATATAAA